CCCAGCGGCCCGCGCGCCGTGCGATCGGTGGGGACGGTAGGTTGTATATTCGGCAGCAGAGTAGGCCGGCCGGACGCGCTTATTCGGCTATCTTTAAACGTTAATATCTCGTTAACTATTAAACCTACAAAATGGTATAAGATTTTTCGATTCAATTCGGTCCGTTCTACCTACTCGTGATCAATTAGCCGATAATTTTCAAACACCCTGTATATATACAAGGTGTCTCGTAAGTTTTTGCCAAGAGCTTTTAGATAGAGCGGACTAAACTGAATCAAAGAGTCCTCTACCATTTTGCGATTTTCGTAATAATTAACAAGATATTAATTATTAAAAATTGTCGAATATTGGTCTTCAATCATTTTTTACTCAAATACTATCAACTTTACAGAAAAACTGGCCAAAAGTCGAGTTTAAAATTTACTGTAAACAATATTTCATGTGTTATAAGAATATCTCAGAGAACATATAAATGAACTGTATAATAAGGTTTTGGTAACAGGTTTCGAGGAATAGCCGCTTGATTACAAAATACAGGTGATAATTTCAGACCTATCTTTAAAATAAAAAATATTAAAACTATAAATATAAACTTTATAAATTAAATGTTTAAAAGTCGTATTTGTTTTAAAAATGGACAAATAATAATGCTATACATTTATTTATCTAAATATTAGCACTACTTTCTGTGGCAGAGCTATTTACGCGAATATTTCTGATTTAAATAGACTATGACTTAACACAAATCCATCGTGCCGACCTGCGCGGCCTCAGAATTAATTTTTTTTATACTGTTTTGTTCGTATGAATATAGTTGACGCGAACAAGCTGCTACTTTTTGCTATTTTTGCTCGTTACTAAAGATATGTATTTATTTTCCCACTACTACAGCGAGTAAGCCAAGAGACTTGAATAAGTGACCAAAAATCCATTTACTCCAAAATTTTGATAAAATTATGAAAAATTATGGTCATGTACGGTTCTTCGGATCGCTGATTTCGAATCTGATGTCAGAATTGCACAATTCAAAATGGTGAATCCAAAATAGCGAACAATTTTCTATAATAATTGTCTAATTTTTATGAAATTCAGTAATATATATCGATTTTTTAATTTTTTTATTTTAAAATTTGAATGTAGTTAAACATTTTTGAAAATTGTTTAATTAATTATTATTCAAACATAATTATAAATCTTCATCATACTGCTCTTCATTAGTCAAATGACCGTATCATGCAAACTTTCGTAAAAATTTGTAAGACCGCTTGAGTCATCCTCTTTCTCGGTCTCGTTTGATTGAGAAAAAGAATACATAATTGGTCGAACTTAGGAATGTCAAGTAAATGATAATTTTTACGAAAGTTTGCATGATACGGAGTTGACTCATGAAGAGCAGTGTGAAAGGAGATTTGTAATTACGCTTGAATACTAATTAACCAGTTTAAAAAAATGTTAAAAATATAAAAATAATAAAACTAAAATACAAAAAAAAAATAAAAAATAAAATACAAAAAGAATTAAAAAATAAAATACAAAAAAAGTAAAAATAAAAAACTGCAAAATGGAGTCAATATCCGCCACATCCTCGATTCGTGACTCTGGGTACGGCAAAGAGCGGTAGTAATTTAAATTTACATTGAAACATTTTTCTCCAAATTTTATTAAATGTTCACTTTGAAGTTAGCCATATTGGATCCATCATCTGTAATTTTAAAAATTGTAATGTCTAACCGACGACCCTGAGAAAAAGTTTTCATTAAAAATTTACTGGTTTTTGCATTTTCGGTTCGCCATTTTGGATCCACCATTTGATATTATAAAATTCTGACATCAAATTCGGAATTAGCGCGCGCGCGCGATCCAAAAAACCGTTATATATTTAATTTCATAAAAATTAGACGATTATTATAGAAAATCGGCCGCCATTTTGGATCCACTATTTTGAATTTCTAAATTCTGAGTTCGGATTCGAAATCAGCGATTCCAAAAATCCCTGAATATCAAATTTAACAGCAATTGAAGCATTTTTAGCATTCTCGTTAGCTATGTTGGATCCGCCATTTTGAATTTCTAAATTTTGAGTTCGGATTCGAAATCAGTGACCCCAAAACCCTGAGAGAGAGAGAAAGAGAGAGAGGGAGAGAGAGAGAGGGAAGGAGGGAGGGAGGGAGGGAGAGTGAGTGAGTGAGTGAGTGAGTGAGTGAGTGAGAGAGAGAGAGAGAGAGAGAGAGAGAGACCGAATTTTATGCCAATCCATCAACATTTTGAATTCTGGCCAAGATTTCGGGTCGTCTGGCCCACTGTGTGGCGCCACTGCACCGACTTGTTCGCGGTTCTTGATACAAGTCTGTACGCAGCTAAACAGGAATGTTGCGATTATTTCTTTGATGTAGCGACTCTCAGCCGATCGGTCCGATGTGATGTTATGTCTAATGTTCACAGCAGCGTTCGAGACACCGTCCACACTGCACACGTTTTGTTCACAACGACGTTCGCGACGACGTTCTGTTACAAGTTTATACGTGATTTTATGCGTTGATATTCGTGGCAGCGTTCGAGATATTATTCATATTGCACTCAGTCTTTATCGCGACGGCGTTCTGCTACAAGTCTGTACGGTTTAAGAATTTTTTCAAAATTTTTTATTTACTTTTTAGTACTGCATTTTCTTATTTTTACTAACATGACAAAGTACGGTATTAAAAAATTCTGAAAAAATTCTCAGAACTTTATGAGAAAAAAATAAACAATTTTTGTCTCTTGCTTATTTCTCTGTACGATAGTATTTGAGTAAAAAATTATTTAAAATCAATATTTAGCGATTTTTAGTAATATCTCGTTAACCATCGCGAAAATTGCAAAATGCTAGAGGGCTTTTCGACTCAGTTTAGTCCGCTCTATCTACACAAAAGCGCTTGGCAAAAACTTACGGGACACCCTGTGTATACAATATGTGTATATATATATATATATATGTGTGACACATTTATTTTTAACAAAGTTGGTACCAAACTGGTATAAATTGATTAAAAACTGAATTGATTAGAACTATTACAGAATCGATTATCAAAGCCTCAAAATTGAAATTAAATGGTAAGATATTTCATGCATCACATATGCAGCTGAAAAGTTTTATTAGCGTTATTTAGAACTTTTAAAATCCAATATTTCATATGCAAGGATTTGATAATAAAAACTAATTGTTATATTATGAGCTTCTGTTTAATTCCAATTCCACTTTTACTCATATGTTTGCAAATTTGTTTTACTCAGCGCCCTTTGTACAATAAATAGAATATATAAAAATAAATGGGGTTGTTATGATCCCACGCGACTAGTAAAGAAAAAAATAGCAAAGGTGTCTTTGGAATTCGATTCACTGACGATATTATTTTTTTATAACCATTAAAATCTTACTCTAAAATTAATCGAACATTTTCATTAATTCTCATCTTTATTGTCAACAACAAAATATTAAATATTTTTTCAATAATTATAATCGTAATAATTGCATTATCCTTGTCAGTGAATAAAATTATTTAAAGTGCATATTAATCTTAAATTAATTTAATTGTAATATATGATGTAATATATGAACTCTCGGCGAACATTCTGTGAATAATTCTCGTTTAATTTGTTAACATTATAAAACATTGATTTTAATCAAAATAGTTTACATAACAAAAAAGTTTTATTTTTTATATTTGTTAATTATATTTTGTTAATTAATAATATTTTTATACTAATGAATTTAAAACTTTTCATGTCTGCTGAGAGTTAAATATATTTCTGATGCTTTAAACCTATAAAGAATAATTATGTATATATATTTTATATATATTAAGTATCTTTTTACATCATCCAAAAAAATAAATAGTGTTAGGGAAAACAATAAAATACAATAATCTATAACATTTATTACACATTAATTCAAATAAAAATTGGATATCAAATGTATATTTATACATTC